CATGTGCTGTACCTACGCGGACCACCAATGGGTCCACTGAGTCCATGTGCTGTACCTACGCGGACCACCAATGGGTCCACTGAGTCCATGTGCTGTACCTACGCGGACCACCAATGGGTCCACTGAGTCCATGTGCTGTACCTACGCGGACCACCAATGGGTCCACTGAGTCCATGTGCTGTACCTACGCGGACCACCAATGGGTCCACTGAGTCCATGTGCTGTACCTACGCGGACCACCAATGGGTCCACTGAGTCCATGTGCTGTACCTACGCGGACCACCAATGGGTCCACTGAGTCCATGTGCTGTACCTACGCGTGGGCTCTCGGTTGCCTGGCGTGGGTTCTTGCCAGGCTTCAGGGATGCGCCTGGGTGTTGCCTTGCCCGCTGTTTGAAAACACAGGGATGCCCGCCCATTTCTAAAAGCCCCTCCCCCATTCTTGCGGGAGGGACGACTGGCCCCAGGAGGTAACTGATTCAGGGGGACAAATAATGAAAAACAGGGTCAAGGGGTGCAGCTCTGCCACCAGTCTTGCACACCTACCTCCATCATGGGCCACTGGAGCCCCCCCCACACACTTACCATTGGTGGGCAGGTGTATGGCAAGCAGGGATCTAGAAAGCATTGAGACATGCCAGTATTGGCGGCACTGAGGAAGCAGCATGGGGGGACACCCCTTTTTTCTGTTTCTTCTCCAAAGGGGGGACCCCGCGATATTGTGCTGCCCTGGGCCCCGCAAAACTCTCATCCACCCCTGCCCAGCCCACACTGCTTCTAATACAGAGGCAACAAGGAGGGGGTAAATGTGAGTAGTCAACATGATTAACTGATAAGCCTAAGCTTATTGGTTGTCTAGTTGGCTACTCATTGACATCCTTACCAGAGATCTCTGTTGAATTGCCCACACCAATACTCAGATACTTTTCCTAACCTAATTAATTAATGTAATTCCCTTTAAGGTATTTGGCTAGATCAATTTTTTCCTCCCATGGTGCATTATTTTACATTTATTAATATTAATTTAATCTGCCATCATGTTGCCCTTTCACCAGCTTCTTCAGGTCTTTATAGCATTCATCTTAGTCTTCACTGGCCATTACTGAATAATTCTGTGTGATCTACAAATTTTGTCACTTTCTAGTTCATCCCCTTTTCCAATTCATATGCCTGTACTAGTACTTTAGCACAAGGTAAAAATCAAGGTAGGAGGCAAAATATCAGTAAAGATTGTAGTTATTTCCATGGGGTTAAGTGTGCAGGATTCTGGGTCATGACAGAGATGCCATAAAATGCTGCCTCCCTTGAACAATCTCATAAATCTGAGGCAACATGTTCCATAATAACCCTGAGGGTTTGGGAGTGTCAGCTACTATCCCACATTTCTTGGAATCCAGAAGAAACTGCTTCATTTTAGCATATTAATTTCTAACAAAAAAAAGTATGGAAAGTTTCTAGTGGGTCAACAAATTCTATAGGTAGTGTGTTGACCAAGAGGTGAATGTCTAAATATTAAGATGAATAATCCATCAGAAAAGTACTACTATCTATCTAGATACTTAGAAAGATAAAACAAATATAGTAAGTACAACATTACCTTTATTTAGAAATTTAATTTATTATGTCTGGTCATCATCAAGGAAGTCCAGAGGAAGAACAACATATTTAATTTAGTGTCTCCTTATTTTCATATGTATGAAGAAATCAGATACAACCATGGTATCTGTTTTTCTGCTTCTCCCTCAAGTCTCTTCACTTTCTTCCACACTGACCCATATAAATGGAATGCCCTCTCCAAACTTGTCCCCAAAACCTCCATTCTTTCTTTTAAATTATTCCTGAAGAGCCAATATTTCTACAAAACTGTATAAACTTAGCTAAATCATCAACTTATTTATTTAATCATGAGAGAACTACTCATGTGAAAGGAGTTGTTAAGGAATAAACTTTAAACAGTTGTGAATACTGCTCACTAAGGCAACCAGGACCTACACATTTTTGCTCTCATGGAATCTCAATGAAGTTAAAGAGGCTCAAAATAAAAAAGTCAAAGGGCCATGCAAAATTAAGTGCAGGATTGAAACTTAGTCTTATAAGCTATATCCCTTTGTTTATCTTTTTTGTTTGTGATTCTGCAAATTGTTCTACATGAGTGGATCCCCTGAGCCAATATGGATTTTGTAGAATCAGAGTCCTTGGACAGGCAGAAAATGGGTACCAAGCCTATCAGCTTGCTTTATTCCTCCCCTACCTTCCACTTGGGTCATTATCAGAAAAACATATAAACAGGTACTCTGGGAGGTAATTGAATGGAGGAAGCAATCTGTGAAAAAAATGGGAGACAGTGTGGGTACTCCAGTTAATTGAGATTAATTCTGAAAAAGGAGTAAAACAGGTTCAGAATAAGCCCTTTGAGATGTCAAACTCAATGACAAGGCAGGGGCTGTGTCTTTTTCTGGTCTGGGGAACTGTGCAACACCTTATTTTGCTTGCTAGCACCATGTAAATAATGTACACAGTGTTGGATAGTTGATATTTTCTTAGTTACACAAACTTAAGTACCTAAAAAAGAAATCAATAAGCAGGTCAGACAAGAATGAAGTAAACACATACTCACATACCTGAAATTTGTAATGGCATATTTAAATTTTACATGCAGTAATAATAGGGAATGGCTACCTCTGTGTTTCTACTTAGGCAAGGCTTTCAGTCACATTCAAACATATTCTAAATGCAGTGGTGGTTAAACTGGTTTATCAAGTTATGTGACTAACATATGAACATGACTATGGGATAGCCCCAAAGTTATTTAGGTGGATAACTTCCATTGAAATAAATACAAATTAGCTTATGTAAGTTAGGTTCCTAAATACATGTGTGGATTTAGGCCTTTATAACCATGCATATATGTTAACTATACATTGATACAAATACCCATATATGAAAACAAAATCAGCCTTAAATGAAGCCAGTTAAACATAACTAAAACTTATAACCTGCTAGAGATTCTTAGCTGGAGTGGAATATGAGCAGTTGGAAAGTAGCATACTAATTGCTGCTTTGCCTATATTTATTTTGCAACTCCTTCTGGCTGTGCTTGGTTCACTGATGTAGATGAGGCTAAACAAATGAATGAGGGTTGAGGGCTCAGATGCAGAGGTGGAAAATACCTAAGTAGAAATAAATTCTTCATTACACTACTCAAGTACATTTTTTTGGTATTTGTACTTTACTCAAGCAATTTATTTTTGGATACTTTGGCTTTTACTCAAGTAGTTTATTTAGAAATTATTGTACTTTTTACTCCACTACAATTTCTGGAAGTGCTTAGTTACTCACTACATTTATCACCCCACTAACACTTGTGCAAGCCAGTGATTTGCTCAAACGCGGCCACATGCGCATGGGTGCCATTTAAGAGCGGCTAGGAATAGTACCTATTAGAAATGAGCTCTAGAGAGAATGTTATGGATTGCAGGATTTCCTCACTATGCAGAACCCCAGGGACAGGCGAGGGGCCATGGACTTGGGGCCACAGGGAGAGACATAACAGATATTGGTTGGAGGGCACGGGGAGGAGCCAGGGGGGCACAACCAGGGATTTCCCAACACCCCCCCAGTTTTGTGAACTATGCTGCCATACAGCCCACCTTCCCCCTCAGGGTCTCATCCCTCATCGGCCCTGACCCCCGCCCCAGGTAAATTCAAACACCCCCCCAAATTCAATTCCTGGGGAGGCTACTGGCAAAAAAAAAAAGC